GTGTGTGTGTGTGTGTGTGTGTGTGTGTGTGTGTTTGTGTGCGAGTCTGCTTGTTTGCTTGTTTATTTGTGTGTATGTTATATATGTGTGGGTATGCGTGTAGTGTGTGTGTGTGTGTGTGTCTGTGTGTGTGTGTGTGTGTGTGTGTGTGTGTGCGTGTGTGTGTGTGATTATGTATGTCTCTCTGTTTGATTGCTTGTGTGTGCCTGTAAAATGCAAGTTAGCATTTTGCGTTATGTGAGTGTATGTGTGCGTGTGTGTGTATGAGTGTATGTGTGTGGGCGTGTGTGCATGCTTGCGTGCGTGCAAGATAGAGAGGGAGAGAGAGCCAGCTGGGGGGGGGGGGTTGAAAGAGAGAGACAAGGGAGAGAAAGAGAGAGAGAGACAGAGAGAGAGAGAGAAAGAGAGAGAGATTACTGGGTAAATAATATTTATGCATGTATTCAGAGAAAGAGAGAGAGAGCGAGAGAGAGAGAGAGAGCGAGAGAGAGAGAAGGAGAGAGAGAGCGAGAGCGAGAGAGAGACAGAGACAGAGAGAGAGAGAGAGAGAGAGGGGCAGACAAAAAGACTTATAGACAGACAGACAGACATAGATAAGAGAATGGACAAATTATGTTGGACAGTCTCATCCTGTGTCGCAACCCGTGAGCTGTAAGAACTGGGTCGGTCGGCGCCCTACAACTCCCATAACATGTCAAAGATCGTTTTTGTTTCGACCCCCTTCCCTCTGCTTGTTTTACTTTGAACGTAAAGCGATAAGTCTTCGGGGTGTAAGGTAAAGAGCTGTTAATTTTTCTGCGTACTCAAAGACTGTCGTTTGGATTCGGTGCTGAACCTTCTTGGGACAATTATTCTTGTCCCCATGAAGATAAGTTTTTTAAAAGTCTGTCTATTCAGGAGTTCGTCACTACTCCTGGGTTTTGCATCAGGGCAAAAATTGAGAGGAAATGAGTTCTAAACTGGCGAATGATCTGTCTTGTTGAATCTAGTGTCATGTTGTAGTGTTCAAAGTTAGGGTTTGCAAATGATTTAGTGTAAGGCTAAGCACGTGTAGCAGGCAGCAGTCAGCCCGCAGATAGACAAAGTGAGAGGAACAGAGACAATGAGCGAGAGAGATGCAGAGAGAAATACAGAGAGAGAAAGAGAAAGAGATAGGAAAAGAGAAAGAGATAGGAAAAGAGAGACAGAGAGAAAGAAAGAGACAGACAGACAGACAGAGAGAGAGAGAGAGAGAGAGAGAGAGAGAGAGAGAGAGAGAGAGAGAGAGAGAGAGAGAGAGAGAGAGAGAGAGGGGGGGGGGGAGGACAAGCAAGCAGAAATGGAGACACAGACAGACAAACTGACAGAGAGACATACATCAGGATGTACCCAAGTCGATGACGCCCTCTACCTCCCACCTTCCACCAAAATACGACATAAAAAATCGTTTTACACACGGCATAGAGCTTCCGTAAAAAGACATGAAGGAATCATCTGGACAGATAGTTACATAATTCATTACATATAAAAGGAATCGGCATTAGAACTGTCAGCTTTGCAAAAGGTGCTCCACATGGCCCTCATCATTCGCAATGCATTAAATTTCCATGTTCTGACTAAACGGTGAAGATTAACGTTCTCACACCGCTACAGCGTGAGGCCTTCACAAGCTTCTCAACTCGAATGTTTAGTGTCTAAAGGATTTAGAATCTTCCTCTCGTCTTTGAGATACTCCCCCCCCCCTAAAAAAGCAAGTGAAGTGGGTTCAAACACAAACTAAGTGATGCCCACAGGTGCTCCGTTGACACGACTGATGAAACCATTCCCAAATTGTCTCTTCAGCCACGTACTGCAGTGTGAGTTACTGCCCCGTCCTGCATCAATCATTGCTGACCTCTTGCCTCATAACCAACCCCCCCCCCCCTTTCCATTTATCGCCAATTTAAAACATTCAAATAAAGATCTGCAGTGACCGTGTGTGTGTTTCTGTCTTCATTACAGAATATTCAAAATGGCCTTTTGACACTTTGAGTGCATAAAGCTACCTACGCAAGTCTCCCTCGTTCACATCATTTGGTCTTTCTGTAGCCAGTTACGTAAAAAGAGCCTCATCGCTGACCCATACAGACAGTCGTAGGTTCTCATTCTGTCCCACTTGTCTTTTCCCCATAAAGCATTTGGGGGGGGGGGGGGGGT